CTTTTTAGTAGTTAATACAACTTTTAAAATTGAGTTGAGGACCTATTGTACACTGAGAAAACTGTTTGGTATCGCATCTACTGAAGTTTGGTTCTCCAAACCAAATTTTTTATTTGATATATGTGCAACTAATCCGTTTGGTTCGGGCTACTAAATTTTTTCGTTGAATCATTTTGTTCGGTCTACCAAATTTTTTGTTTTGCACAACTAACTTATTGTTTTTAAGCAAACAAAAAATTTAGTTAAATGAAAAAAATTTTTTTCTTTTCTCAACCAAATTATTTTTTGGCTCACACTTATATTTTTTATTTTTCACTTAATTTTATCACTTTTGTTATCCTCTTTTATTCTTTTCGCTTTATATTACCTACCACCCTATGTCTATACTTAAATTAATTTCTATTGCGGAAAAACCTAACACTGCTGGGGATCGAACCCTCAGACTACGCAACGCAAATCAAGAACGCTGACCACTACACTAAGAATCCTAGTGACAATGTGAGTGTAAATTATTTTCATAAAGTATACAGGCTGGAGAAAAACTTCCGTTCTTTTAACAAGCTTTATTCTCTCGACAGCCATGTTATAAAATATGAGAATAAAGAATTTTTTGTTGTAAGCACTTAGTGATGCATATCGAACCAATAAATTCTCGTGATCATAATTGACATGCTCGAGATTTTATTTGCATATTTTCTTTTCACCAAAACACAGTGACATTTGTCCGATTTTCACATGAAGAACGAACATATTTCCCACATTTATCCATTTCTTGATCATATTGTTCGATATGCATCACTACACACACTTTTTTACCCAATTTCTGAAACACATAAAAATCCCGAAAACACTTGAATAAAACTGGACGACACGAGAGCGAAGCATGGTTAACGTGTGACATCCGTAAACAGAGAAATAAGCCATATTTATGAGAACAGCGCATGCGCAATTGAGCATTCAGACGGTTTGGTTTGGAGAACCAAATTATTCAGTTAACAGACGCAAAAGCTTATTGAACGAAATTTTTGGTACACCCAACTAAATTTCTCGATTGATTGCTTCTGTTATGTCAACTAAACTTTTGTAATCTTAACTAAAAGTGCTCTACCAAATTATTTTATTACCATTACATTATTATTTTTCTCAGTGTACTATACAGGGTATAGTTAAAAAGTATAGTCAAATCTACTACTTATTTTTTTGAGTATACTTCAATTATTTTATTTATAATATTTTTTGTATACGTAATTATATTTTCGCTCCACTATAATAATTATTATAGGCTCTAACGCGAAACTCAAAAAATAAACATTTAATTTAAAAAAATTTGTCTAAAACTGAAAATTGGGCAAATTAGACATAAGCCAAATTTTCATATCGAATAATTTTTATGTACCTATAACTAAATTCTGCTTTAATAGAATTTCTATATTTAACTGAATTTTGGTATAGGAAAAATTTCGAGTCACCTTATTTTGGCTTAAATCGCTCAAAAGATCGAATTTTGATTAAATGATATAAAAAATCCAAGACAATGAATTTCTAAAAATTCGAATTATCAAACGTTCGAATATATACTAAAAGATCGGATTTTAATAAATTCTAATTATTAAAAGTTCGAATTAATAAAAGATTGATTTTTTAAAAGTTTAATGCGAGCCTAAAGTTTTGAACGTTCAAATGAACGAAATTTTTTTTGCAACTATACTTTAATAAGAATTTTATTACAAAATATTGTTTTGAATATTTAAAGAAGAATTTATTAATTTAATAATTGTTTAATTTACTGTTTTATTTTACATTGCCATCATAATTTTTTATAATTTATAGATTAAAAAAAAATATTTCGTTCATTTGAACGTTCAGAACTTTTGGCTCATAAAATTTAAATTCAAAAAGTTCGAATTACCAAAAGATCGCAATAATATTTCTATAAAATTTTGAATTATCAAAAAATTTATTTGATCGAATTTCCCAATTTTCAAATTAGGATGGGTCCAGTAGGCCCGAGTATTCTTTCGAGCTCAATTTGAATATTTTTTATATTTTAATATATTAATTGGACATATATTCTTAGTATAATTTTCTAAGTTTTTTGATACAACTATAATTCGATACAAAAGAATAAATTAGCTTCAAACATTAATCAATATATAAAATTTTAATTTTAACCTAAAAAGTCACATTTTATTCTGCAAAATAAATACTCATTATAAAATTCCCTTTATAAAATTCTGCTAAATAAAAATTAGATAATTATTTAATTTAACACCACAAAAAATTCCAACAGGTCTATAAAGTGGGGCCTCCTTTTTTTTTACTTCAACTCAAAATGAGTATCGTATACATATAGGGAAATCATATATTTTGAATCCAGGCTTTTTTCTATGATGACTTTTGAAAAATAAAAAATGAAAAATTTCAAAACGAAGAAGTGAGAAATACAAAGGGTGCTTTATAATTGTGTTCTTAGAGAGGAACATATGTATACATATATATATATATATATATATATATATATATATATATGCCATATCAGACGTCTCTGAACGTGGTGGAGGAGAGGTTCGACTCTTTCTCTTTCTTCCTATCTTACTCTCTCCTTTGCCTGACGTAAAGTAATTAAATGCAGAGAGGGAGAGGGACGAAGTATGTATATATATGTATGAAAGACTTGAGAGACAGGGTGCGGCGAGGGGAGAAGGCAGGAGGGAGAGGGCGTTTCTGAAGCCACTCCCTAGCTTGGAGTTGTCTGAAACCCAAGTCTGCCTGGAAGCTCTTATACACTTTTATATAAAACACCCTGGACCTGATGTGTGTGACTATATATATATATATATATATATATATATATATCTCCATATTATTATTATATATACGATAAGTGCCGCTTCACTAGCTCCTTCGGACCTTTCGTGACTGCATCGACCAATAACTTTTTTGTTCTCACCTGATTAAGCCTCGGCATATACCGACTTCTTTTTACAAACTATATATATATATACATATATACGTTTGCTGCAGATGAATATTTTTTTAATGAATCATTCCATAGTTCATGTCTCCGTGGAAAAATGGGTGGATCGATATATTAGTTGCTCGATCTTATAATTGGTTTTTTTTTTCAAAATATAAGATGCGTATATAAAAATATTTTATATATACCAATCGATAAATATTAAAATTTCAACATATCCGAGATAAAGAATCATGAATAAAATTATTTTTTTTCCGAGAGTTGAGTAATTTTGGCTTCTATTATTAATGGAACAAAGTCTAATCATACTGGTGAGTGCGCGTATATATTGGAAATTATTTAAATTTCCAATCAACTTGTTTTTCAACCTCTATATACATATTACTCTCTAAATCTGAATTAGTAAAAATGTTTACTAATTTGAATTAGTGACTCACTTTTTGGTTCTGAATTAGTAAAATTTTACTAATTATTAGTTACTTTTACTAACAATTAGTAAAATTTAACTAATTCAGAAGCAAAAAGTGAGTCACTAATTCAAATTAGTAAACATTTTTACTAATTCAGATTTAGAGAGTATACCCGCGTGAAAAAGGAAGTATATGGGCTAAAAGCTAGAAAAGTTTGGAAGAGTATGGGTGAAGACTATCAAAGTAACGAAACAATAGAGCAAGAAAAGTCAACCAAAAAACGTACCATACCGCCGAAAGCTGACAAAGTATTGCTAATGAGCTAATCTCATACTATAAGCATAGGAAAAATTTTTTTTATTGAAATTTCAACTATGGCTGAAAGCTTACAAAGTATGGGCGAAGGAAAAAATGATTTTTTTCAAATTTCAACTACTCTCTAAATCTGAATCAGTAGAAATTTTACTAATTCAATCAGTACTTTTCATTTTAACTGAATTTTCAGTTATTTTTTGAAATTTACTAATATAATTAGTGAATATATAAGCAATAGAAAATAACTTATATGTAAAACAGTAATATGTATATAACATAACCTTTAAAATTAACTGTTAAATCAGTAGATTTTGCGGCCGCTGCCTTATGTTTATATTACTGATTCAATCAGTAATTTATATTTTACTAATTGAATCAGTAAATTTCTACTAATTATCAGTTGCTCAATTCTCGCTACGGCAATTAGTAGATTTCTACTACTAAATATGGGTATAAATATGGGGCTTTCTCCACAATATTTTCCTTCAAAAATTAAATTTGGTTAGAATAATTTTTTTTTTTTGATTCTATATCAAAAAAGAAGAATACGTATATTTTTTTATTTTGATATTTGATGAAAATTGCAGAAGTCATGAATTATTGGGTATTCACCAGAATCATTTTTTTAATAATTTTTTTTCGATATAAAATAAAAAAAAATTATTCTAACAAAATCTTATTTTTGAATGAAAATGTTGTGCAGAATGCCCCATATATATATATATATATTATTGTAATGTATATATATTTTCAAACTCCAATCAGGTATAATAATAATAATATGATAAAATGTGTATATATAAATGAACGTTTCTTGTTTTAAGACTGACACTAATTGCAAGAGAAATTATAAAGTGAAATTTTCAATGTTTGCACGAATATATTTTTTGTTAATAAATATAACAATTAAATTATTCTATGAATACTCTATATAGGTTTAAATTCATTTTCCGATTTTCTTTACTGATTCATTATTATAATAATAATAATATTTCCCAAGCAAATACATATATAAAATGCATTTTTTAGCTTATCGTTGGCAATAATCATTGTAATTATAAATATATATATATATATGCCTCTAATTAGTATAATTCTTATTCTCAATTAGAAAACGAGGCATATTCATTATTCATATATTTATGATATTATAAAAAAAAATTTGAATGACAGCGAGAATAAAATATATATATACATTCAACCAGAGGTGCAAATATAAATGATTAACTTTCGCACCTTTCATATATATATATAAAAATGCGACGCTCAATTAAACTGCAATTAAAAAGATTACTCACCTGTTTCCAGATCGACAGTATATGGTAGACCGGCCCAAGGATCTTCTTCCTTCAGCTTTTCGGCCTCTTTGGTTTTCTCCTATAAATAGTAGGAAATTTTTTTTTATATTTTAACCACATTTATACATTAACAATCTAACAAAAAAAAAAAAAAAAAAAAAAAAAAAGAAAAAGTTAAGAACCGTCGAAAATAAATTTCCCATTTTTTTCCATATTTTAATTTACATTTCTTCTAAATATTATATTTTTCATCAACTATTTATAAATTAGTGCATTATTTATTCAAAATCTTAAACTTTTGAGGTTATGTTCGTATTTTAACTCTGAGTTTTTACCTAATTTTATGGTTAAGTTTATTCATTTTAACATAATAATAATGCTCTCTTGACCCAGAAATGGAAACGGTCGCGCCATGGTAACGGTATAGTCATGGAAATGGTTTCTATGGTAACTGTTACCATATGGAAACGGTTGTTATGGTAACGGTTGCGAAAATATAAGGCTTTCAGGCCTGGGCCACAAAACCCTAAAAATCATAAAATAAATTTTTCCAAATTGTTAATAAATTAATTAAATAATTACAAATAATTTAATGACAAAGATTATAAATAACACTGGTCGACAAAAAATAACTTTTTTTATGATCGGACAAGGCTATTCTTATAGGATTTTCATCGTTAAACACGAATCTGCGACCTTTAAAAGTTCCCATCACGTCAAGATTTTGAGAAAACTATGGACTCAAAGTCTCAAAAATCTTTGCTTTTGGCCTTTTTTCATCACGTGAAGAGAATAATGCCGATGAGGAGCTAGAAGTCTCTAATTAATCTTATAAATTAAAGCTTGAACTCTCAACTATAAGAATCAAATCAAAATAGCTCTGAAACAATCAAAAATTTTCATATAGCACAACTTTTTCATGTGCGCGCGCACTCTAATACTTGCACTCATAGAGCGGTACAGCGTTGGTTAATTTCTGCACAGGATGCACTAAAAACTATTTATTTCAAAAATTAATATGTATTTCAAAATAGGAAAAACTCTGTTTTTGTATATATATGAAAACGTATATGAAACGTATACTGCTAGTTTCTGACCAAGTATATATGTTATTATTATTATTATTATTATTATTATTATGTGTGAGAGAGGGATGTGAATTTAAAATTCAAAATTATTAAGCACCGGTTATTAAAATCTCATAAATTCTTGATCAAGATTTATATATGTGGACACGCTATATAGCATGTGAAGGAGCGAAAGTTAAACACTTGAAAAGGAGGAAGAAGTCATTGGAATGGATGAAGACGTGAGACTTGTGAAAAGACCAAACAAGGTGAAGAAGCCGATCACAATGACGATGACGACGGATTTTGTATATATATGCTATATAGATATATACGCACACGTTGTCTGCCATACATATATATATACATATATATAAGAGAAGAATAACAGGATTAGAATCCTATCGAAATGAAGAAATTCCTCTGTCAAGAAGGCTGCAGATGCTAAATGCACTATAATTGGGGTCTTCTATATTCATGTATATATATATATATATATATATTATTTATTTATTTTATTAATGTTTCCGCGTCTTGAATAACATATGCACTATAACCATCACTTTTTCATATATATATAAATAGATAATTGGAAGACATACAAATATGTTTCAAAAGATGAGGAATTTACTTTAATTTATTTTTTATAAATTAGTAAACCGCATTCTCTATCAGAAATACATAACTACTGCATGGTATTGGTACCAGTATTGCGCCAGTAGTAAACTCTGCTAAAAAATATTCTGAAATTTAGAATATATATATACTTGGCACCTATTTTAGAATATTATATATGAGGCAAAATTCCTGAAATGTCCGAACAAAAAATTAAAAGTTCTCGAATTTAATCCATACTTTTCTAAAATGTTGTTATTGTTGGTGAAAGTCTAAAAATCAATTATTATTGAATTTAATAAAATAGTTTTTGAATTACAACGTTTTTAATTTTTGACTTTTGAAAAAAAAAATTTTTTTCAATATACAATATTTATAAGTAGAATGCATAAAAGTTAACATATATATAATGATTTTTAAAGCTTTTTTGACGGGCTACACGCTGTTAATAAAATTTTTTTTTTAAATAACATTTGACCTTGAAATTCAAGGTCAAAATGTTAATTTACGTTTATCTCAAAATCGGATTTTTTTAAATTATTTTTAACTCTCTCAATGGAAAGCTTGACTAAGTTCCTGCAAAATATGTAATTTTCAAAGTGGGATCTTTTAAAGTTTTTGAGATATTAATTAATTAATTAATTAATGTTTATAACAAATGAAATATTTTACAAACGAATAAAGTTAACGTAATTCTGAAGTTAGCAATTGAAACTTAACGTAATTCCGCATCCAACGAGCCCTGTATGAAGTATTTTGGATAAGTAGATTGTTAATAAACAATTAGTTAACATTGCAATTGTTTATTAACAATCTACTTATCCAAAATACTTCATATAGGGCTCGTTGGATGCGGAATTACCTTAACTTTCAATTGGTAAGTTCAGCATTACCATAACTTTATTTGTTTGTGAAATATTTTATTTTTTACTAACAACAAGCATCCAAAAGCCCTATATGAAGTATTTTTGTTCAATTTTAGTTAAATAACAATAAAAAATGAAATATCTTACAAACAAATAAAGTTATGGTAATGCTGAACTTACCAATTGAAAGTTAAGGTAATTCCGCATCCAACGAGCCCTATATGAAGTATTTTGGATAAGTAGATTGTTAATAAACAATTGCAATGTTAACTAATTGTTTATTAACAATCTACTTATCCAAAATACTTCATACAGGGCTCGTTGGATGCGGAATTACGTTAAGTTTCAATTGCTAACTTCAGAATTACGTTAACTTTATTCGTTTGTAAAATATTTCATTTGTTATAAACATTAATTAATTAATTAATTAATATCTCAAAAACTTTAAAAGATCCCACTTTGAAAATTACATATTTTGCAGGAACTTAGTCAAGCTTTCCATTGAGAGAGTTAAAAATAATTTAAAAAAATCCGATTTTGAGATAAACGTAAATTAACATTTTGACCTTGAATTTCAAGGTCAAATGTTATTTAAAAAAAAAATTTTATTAACAGCGTGTAGCCCGTCAAAAAAGCTTTAAAAATCATTACATATATGTTAACTTTTATCCATTCTACTTATAAATATTGTACATTGAAAAAAATTTTTTTTTTCAAAAGTCAAAAATTAAAAACGTTGTAATTCAAAAACTATTTTATTAAATTCAATAATAATTGATTTTTAGACTTTCACCAACAATAACAACATTTTAGAAAAGTATGGATTAAATTCGAGAACTTTTAATTTTTTGTTCGGACATTTCAGGAATTTTGCCTCATATATAGCTTAAATTAAGTATGTAATATTTTTAAAATTAGAATATATAATCTTTTCTTACTTATATAGTACATATCTTAAATGCTAAGAATATATTTTAATTTTAAGATAATTATATTGAATTTAAGTATACATAAAATATTCTAAAATGGGTACTAAAAGTATATATATTCTAAATAGCACACAGAGAAAAAGGAATGGTTGGGCCAACCATATAGGTATTGATAAATATACGTCCCATCAATATTATATATGGTTACCACAATCATATCTTTAGTTGATACAACCATAGTATGGTTGGTGCAACCAAAGGTCAGGTTGACACATCAAATTTGCAATTTTTCGTCATTTTGATGTGACAAACTAACCTTTGGTTAGGCCAACCATACTATGGTTGTATCAACTAAAGATATGGTTGTGGTAACCATATAATATTGATGGGACGTATTTATCAATACCTATGGTTGGCCCAACCATTCCTTTTCTTTCCGTGCAGAATATTTTTTTGGTGTGGTAATTTCTGGTGGGGTTTTAGTTTGGTAGATTGGATTTTTTATCCAATATACGCTACGCTCGTAACCCTATTAAGGATTATATATACATATATATACATTGTGGAGAAAAAATAGTATCAAAATCACTTCATTAAGTGTATATACTGAACATAGTTTAGGATTTGTTACAACAAAGGGGTTGAATTTTGCGACACAATGGAAAATTTCAATTGGGCATCATCATTGGCGCCAAGGTCGTCTCTCTTTATATAGAGATGTCATAATCATAAGGAACCTTTTTAAACCGATCGAGAGAGGGTCCCCCCGGTTGAATTATATAGGTATGTTTCGAGCCGCATGGAACGTCAATGGCGGCTCGTCACTTTATACGCATATATATATATACCCAAGTGAGAGAGAAATGAGTTTAATGAAAACAGCATTGTACTTGGATCATTAATCATAACCGCGTTCTGATAGTGGCCATCCAACCATTGCCTGTCCCTTTACCCTTCATCCCTCTCCCTTCAACCCTCTCATTCTTTATATATTCTCATCATTTACCCTCTTTCTCTCGTTGCTTATATATTATCGCGTTGTGTGTCGTTGCAAGTTCCAAGGTTCGATATCGAATATTAAACTATATAAACTTTGGGAAAAGCATTTTCGAAAATTAAAAATTCATCAAGAGAAATGAGATATATTTTTAAAGCTATAATCTATACCTATATATATTATACAAAAAAGATATCGCTGCCGCTGGGTTCAAGACTATATGTCCGACCAACATAACCTTAAATTCCATTAACAAGAAACAAACATATAACCTCAATATTTTTTTTAACTACATTTTTTTAAATTATTATTTTAACTTCATCTGTACAAAAAACAAAGAAATTTATTTCTTAACTTTTATCATAAAAATCTAAAATATATTTTTTTGTATGATTTCGTAGTTGTAATATTCTCAAAATCTGAATTAGTAAAAAAGTTTACTAATTTGATTTATAGTGAATCACTTTTTGCTTCTCAATTAGTAAAATTTTACTAATTATGAGTAAATTTTAATACAATTAGTAAAATTTAACTAAGTCTAAAGCAAAAAGTGAGTCACTTATTTAAATTAGTATAAATATTTTTACTAATTCAGATTTAGAGAT